ATTATTATATTATTATTTAAAAAAAATATACATATATATTTTTATTATTTATATGCATATAAATTCTATATAAAAATTTATGAAATTTATTAAAACGCAAAATACGCAACAAAAAATGTAACTCAAAGCAAATATGAAATTCGCAGTTTAATATCTCTATATATAATATATATATATATATATATATATATATATATATATATATATATATATATATATATATATATATATATATATATATATTATTTAATTTTTGACATATATTTTTTTAGGACAACCTTTCAAAGTTTCCCAACGGCAATTTTCAGTCAAGTTGTAAGTGTTAATATTTTTTTAAATTTTTATTATTTATATTGTTATTTTTATTAATATTGTCAAGCTGAGCTGTGGCTTTAGGCCTTAAGCTCGTCTTTTCATTTCTTAATTTTACAAATAGCTTAATAAAAACTTTGCAAATTGTATCCAAAGTAACTTGAAAGTAAATATAGAAAATTCATTTCAGGAAATATTTTTCAGCTGAAAACTGTTATAACATATACAGACTTAACTAACAGAAACTGTTATATAGTATAAGAAAGTGACTAAAGGAATTGGTTTGATATATGCTTAGAAGGGCTAAATATTTATTTTTAAATTTATTCTTAGGTATTTATTATATTGGTATTTATTATATTAGGTATTTATTCTATTTCACTCAAAGTATTATTAAGTAAAGTTAAATTTATGTGCGTAAGCCCAGAAAAGGGAGAAGAGTATTACCACAGTCGTCTTAGCCAAGAGCTAAGTGCGCTCTTCATTAATATCGACTTCAATGTTTTACTTTGCTTTGGTCAACATTTTCCTTAAATTTTTTTGTCGTTTTGTTTCGTTTTGCCTTCTGCGGAAAAGGCGCGAAATTTGTTTGTCTAACTGTTCCTCGACTTGTTTGGCTAGCACACCTTGAAATCAGTTTATTCTTTGCTCTGCGCCTTCAAGCTACAATTAACTTTTTGGCTTTAAGCCGAAAGACCAAGTTGACCCAACCCAGACCCAGACCCAGACCCAGACCCAGACCACGACTGCCATATAGTATAATTCTTGTAAAGCTGGATGCCTTATGTCCCACTTGCACGCAATGTCCTGAGGCCTGAGCACTTTTTCATTATAATTGGCATTCGCCTACGCTTAACTAATCTACACAAAACGCAGCTCCCCGGGGTATATTGCCGTTGTCTATTGTTGTATTGTCATAATTTTGATTGAGGAGCCAAATGCGGCCCCAAATTGGTATTTTGTGATATATTGACTTTGTCGCTGAACTGTCGCCTGCTTAGTCACTCCAGGCTTTTGTTTCTTTACACTCATTGTCGTTGTTGTTGTCGTTGGTCGACAATTAGTGCCCTCACAGCTCCCCCACAGTCGACCACATCTACATAGCAATTAGGGTTTTATGGATCAGCTCAGCAAAGGGTTGTTTTTCTTTTGACGCACTGTCATTTGTGTTGCCACTTCCCAACTACTCCTATAGAGCTCCATATACTATATATATACACACACACCTTACCCCGCCCCTTCTCCATGGCAGTCAAGCACTTGGCTTCTGCTAACACCAATTTGTTCATTGATTTTGCGCTACAAATTAAAAATAATGTTTCAACAAAAGAGCTTAGAATTCAGCTTATCGGAAAGACGACTATCAAGATGCTCTACAAATATTACAATTTCGAATTGTTCACAAATATATTTGTTAGACTTGAAGCACATTTTTGTGAAATTATTGAAATTGAAATTATTAGAATTTATAAATATAAAAGCTTAAAATATAAAAAATATTTTAAATGTAATTATTATGACTATATTTAGAAATTATAAATATTAAAACTGAATAATTTCATTTAAAATATTTTTTATATTTTTAGCTTTTATATTTATAATTTCTAATAATTTCAATTTTAAATGAAATTATAAATACAAAACCGGAATAATTTCTTTTCAAATATTTTTTTATATTTTAAGTGAAATTATTCAGCTTTTATATTTATAAATTCTCTATATCTATTTCTTTGCAAATCTCAGAGCAGAATAAAATATAATTAATTTAAGCCATTCAAACCAAAAAAATATATATTATATATTATATATATATATATATATATATATATATATATATTATCAAATTATTATTATTATTCAATTATTATTATTAAATGATTATTATTTTAAATTATTATTAAATTACTTTAATTTTTTCATTTATAATTTCTAATAATTTTTATTTTATAATTTCATTTATTTATTTATTAAATGATTATTATTTTAAATTATTATTATTATTATTAATTTATTTTCATTTTAAATTATTAAAAATGAAATTAGTCTTAGCTTTCAGCCTATTATATCATTTTGTTGGCCTGTGTAATTAATTTTTATTTTGCCTTTCTCAGCTGCGATCTCCCTTTCACTTGATCAGCGTCGCCAGGCGTCTCGCGTAGCTAATACACCCGAACAACCCGTTCGATTTGATGCTTGCGCAATGTTTGATTGTGCAACTGTTCGACGCTGTCGCATTTCGTTTCGAGTCGAGTGACTTCAATCTGTCACCAGAGAGTTTCTTGAGGTCTTTTATTATTATTATTATTGCGAGCCGCCTTTCAATTTCCAGTGCTTTTTTCAGCATTCGCCAACCCCTCGCCGGCAGGGGTTGTGCATATGGCAGCATTAAAAAACCCACACGTACAATGTCCAAAGAAATTAGATGTCGCCGTTCTCGCTGGCTCGACTCGGATCTTCTGCTCAGCCTCGCCTGCTGCTGCTGCTCATCGTGTGACATAATTCAGGCTAGGTGCAACGAGTTGGACAAAGGTACAATGGACAGCTCAACGCACACGCCCACCGCCCACACACACACGCACACGCTGAGCAAGGCCCAAAACAAAAGGCGCTCCACGTCGACAACTTTGTCGTCTGATGATGAGTTTCGCTCGCTTTGTTTACTTCTTTCTGTTTTCCTTTTTTATTTCTTGCTGCTTTGCCCTGCATCTCGACGAGGACACGCCCACAAATTGCTCGGCACGTTATTATTGTCGTTTTTAATTTGTGTGCCCCAAAAGAAATTGCAAACAGTGCCCGTCCATTGTCTGTAGCACTTCAAACGTGAAACGCTGCCTCCAAGCGCACAGGTTGGGCTACAAAATATTACATATTGTTTATCATCTAAATTTCGCATAAAGGTGGGCTCAGCCCAGTCTGCGAACAGATTATTTACGCTTTGTTAATCCCTCGAGAACGTGACTCTATATAGATATATTTGAATTATTTACCTCGAAGCTTGGCCACAAAATGAAACAGCTCCGTGGAAGAGAGAAGCTTTTGAGGCCAGGCTAAAGTAGAAACAAGCTCATGCTAAAACTTAACAAACTTAGTCGAGAGAGAGAGAGAAACTTATATGAAACAAATTTAATAATTAAAAGTTTTAATGGAATGGAATAATGGAACGAAAGAAGTGAGAAACTAATATTGAAAGAAATAAGAAGAAAGAAACTTCAAGGGGTTAGGAATAATAAAAGAAAGAATGAAAACACAAAACACAACAAGGTGAAAAAGCGAAACTTAATTTGATAAGAAATATAAAGAGAGAAACTTTAAAGAAAGAAAATATAAGAGAGCAACTCATAAAAAATTAGAAAAATAGAGAAAAGCTGGAGTAGAGAGAAACATATATTTAATATAATAATTAATAAGAAGGAAGCTTTAAAAGAAGTTGATAATAAAAGTGAAAATTAAAGATGAAAAATAGCAAAAAGCAAAAGATGAGAGAAGCTACTTTGATAAGAATAAGAAGAGTGAAACATTTAGTATTACGAAACATTAGAGAGAAACTTATGAGAACTAAAAAAAGTATAGAAAAAGAAGTTAAATAAGAGGCAAACTTACATTAGCAAGAACGGAAAACAGAGAGAAACTTTCAAAGCAAAGAAAGCTAAGAAAAGGACATAATGAAAACACAAATAAATATTGAAAAGAGGAAGAGTTTTTTCTACTGATTTGATCAAAAATAAAAATTATAATAGAAAGAAAACTTAATATATATAAAGTTAGATATATTTAAGAAACAAAGAGAGAGAAGCTTAAAAGTAAAGCAAAAATAAACGATTGACCTAAGTGAAAAATATAAAAGTAAATGCATATATAACTATCTAGAACTGTCTAGAACTATATAAAGCTGTGTTCATAAAAATAGTAGTGCGACTGAGCATAACAAACTTAGTGATAGAAACAACTTTGTATCAAAATAGATATATTTATACAGATAAGAAGTCTAGAAAAAAATATAGCAAATATGAATAAACTAAGCTAATATTACTTACTTCATGGAGGCAAATAGTGTTTTAAATAACAACAATTATTTAAAATCTGACGCTGACTGAATCAAGTTTTATCTGTAAAATCGAAAATTAAAGTAAGCCTTAAACTTTTTAATGCTGCCAAACATTTTTCAAAAATATTCGAAAAATCAAGTTAAAATAGTCCAAGGCGAAAAATGATTCCTCTTCACAATTAAATTTGCAGCAATAAAAAACATCGCTGGGCCTTCATGATTTTTGACAAATTTCTTTATTATATATGAATAATAAAATAGTGTTGAACAAAACTGAAGAAGAAGAAGAATGGAAGTACATTAGCTTGCGTTTCATAAATTATTGCAAAGGAAAAATTAACAGAAAATATTTGACGTTAATTACAAATAAATGCAAAAACTGAGAATTTGCAAAAGATGTGTGTGTGTGTGTGTCTGAGTGTGTGTAAATTAAGATGAATGTATTAATACTTCTTTTGTTTTTGTTTTAAAACTAACATAAATTAATTTACGAATTGTAATAAAACTATGCGAGTTGTTGTTGTTGTTTTGTGAATGTGAATTTGAATGTGAATGTGTGTGTGATATATGAGCGAGTGTGTGTGTGTGTCTGTGTGTGTTATATAACTAGCATACAATACATGTTGTATATATATATATATATATATGGAGATATCAATTGATTATAAATTATTGTAAAAATATGTGTAAATCCATTTGCATTTTCCAAGCAGTTTTTCCACTTGTTTCGAATGTTTCGAGTTGATTTCTTTGAAAATAATATCACTTGGCGGCAGACACACAGAGAGAGAGGGCTAGAGAGGGAGATGGCAGAGCTGGCTGTAGCTAAAGCCAGATAGAGACAGATGCTCTACTTTTGCTGGTTGTTATTGTTGTTGTTGTTCTTGTTGTTGCTGCTGCCGCTGCCGTTGCCGCTGCTGCCTTTGTCGTGCATCATTTGTATTAAGCGATTGCGCTTGGCCGCATCCGATCTGCTGTATTCATCGAGAAACTGCAAGAAGCGATCGTTAAGAGGTTTATAAAGTTAACAGGGCTTAGTCTTTTGTTATATAGACTATGGAGAGAGAGAGGGGGCAGAGGTATTATCTATTTACTCACCCCTAGATCAAAGTCGCGTGATATGAGCTGCCGGGCCGGGGCATTGTTGTAGCACATGGTCACCAAAAATGGATAAATGACCGGATTAAACTGTGTCGACAGCTTGGACAAATTCTTGAAGATCACCGCAAACGGCTCCGTTATCAATAGCTCCTGGTGCCGTCTATTGTTCACACTGAAGAACGCCAATGATGCTATCAAATCGATGAGCATCGTGGAGCTCTCGGCACTGGAATTGGCAGTTGTCTGATTCACGCTGTGCTTAAGTATCAGGCTCATCACGTCCAGCAGCTTCACCGACAAAGGACCCTCCACGGACAGCACCTCCTGCACAGTGGTAAAAAAGGAGTAGAGAACGATTTAATTGGCAACAACTTGAATAAAAATAAAATAAAATAAATTGTGGAATCACTGAGCAAATGTTTTAATTAAGTCAAAGCAAATATCAAAGAGTGGCACTTGTTTATAGCAGCAACTGAAGTGCTCAATTGTTTGCTGTGCGTGTGCGTGTGTGTGTGTGTGTGGTAGACATCTATTTGCATAGCGGAACGCAGCAGGACGAACGGACAATGAGGTCTCGCTTCTAATTTGTTTGTTTTGGCAGCCGTGCGACCAACTGCGAAGGCCGAGCCACAAACAAAAAAAAAAAAAAAAACAGGAAAAAAATAAATGAAAGCAAGCATTTATGCTATGACAGACTACAAGATACCCTATGCTATGCAAAAAGATTAAAATGTATAGTCAAAAAGTCCATGTCAAGCATCAAACAAAGCTCTACAACTATAATTTAAGGTTTATTTTTGGTTTATCGATAGTTGTTATCGATAGTATTTTGAGGCTGGCGTGCCAGCTGCACAATAGTGCAATTTAAGTCTCAAGTATACTTAGATTTAAAGAATTTGTATAAGGAATACACAGAAGAAAGCTTAGCAATCGATAAGTTATCGATATTGTTTTATGACAAATCGGTCTGCATACGCATTACCATTAAAATGTCTGACTTGTGGCTATCGCTCGAGAATTGTTTAATTAAAAGATATTTATTAAAAGTCGATCAATAAATATCGATAGTTTTGCAGTCATGAAAATAATAATTAAAATTAGTTAATAAATTAATAAATTAAATAAGAGTTATTAAAATAAATATTCAACAACAATTTTATAATTAAATGAAATACATTTTATAAAACACTAGCTATCAGAGCTAATGACTAAATGTACGTTAAAAACTATCGATAATATCGATGTCATGTAGTATATTGATTATTCGGTTTCTAAATTAAATAAGCAATAATTAGAATTGAATAACTAAATGGAACAATTTCAAACTAGCAGTTAATCGATAAATATTTATCGATCAGTCAGAAGACAGCTTATATTATTTTATTATTTTATTTTATTATTATTTAGAACCCATCTGATTGCAATTGAAATGCAACCCTTTTGCAGTGGGCATTAGCAGCGATAGCAACCCCTAGTCTGAGCTGCATTTTAAGTTAAGTAGCCTTTAATTTATGCTAATCACACGTACTTGAATATTGTGCCTAAAGTAATGAACGAGACGGCGAGAACAACTAAAACAACCCTCGCTGCTGCGTACAGTGAGCAATAAAAAAACACCCAGAACCAAAACCAAAACCAAAACTGAAACTGGCAACTTGTACGAGCATTGAGCAAATATTTAGCCAAACAATTGACGTGCCTGGCTGGTTGGTTGACTAGCAGCAGGCTAGGGGCATGGGCGGGGGCAGGATGTAGTAGGCAGGATATGAGCGAGGATTTGTGCATGGCTCAGAGAGCAAACGATGCGCGATGCGAAGCGAAGCGGCGGCATCCTTCAAAAAACAATCAGCCAGGCGAGGCAGGCAGCAGTAGCTGCCCCTGTGTGTGTGTGTTGTGCGTGTGTGTTTGTGTGTGTATGCCTTGTGCTTGGGTTAAACTTGAAAATTTCATTTTACAAAGTCAATATTTGCCTGGCAGACGCAGCAGCAGCAGCAGCACTTGAAAATTGAGCTGCTCTGTGGTTGTGCGTGTGTTTGTGTCTGTGTGTGTGTGTGTTGTGCGTCTCTCGCTGATTAAAACCAAATCAAATTATTTGCCAGCCAAGAGTTATATATACATAATTCTTTTTTCCAGCCAGCACAAACAACACAAACAGCAAAGATGAGTGCCTGAGTTTATCTATTTCTGTGGTAATTTAAAGCAAATAAATGGGCTGGCAAGTTTTTGCACAAACTTTGGCCTAATCCGCTAGCCAAATGCCTGCTTGCGCCTGCATTCATTTCATTTTGACTGTTTGCGCAACAAATTAGTTTGTCAAGTGCGTTTCGTTTCGCCAAGGAATACACTGGCAGCCGCAAGAGTGAGCTGCATGGAGGGCAGGCGGAGGCGGAGAGGAGGTCCACAAATATTGACACAACGCAGCAGGAAATGAAATGTAGACAAGCGAATGCGCAGCAGACACACAGTCAGTTCGTCAGTCAGCCAAGCTTTCAAATGCCGTTTCATCTGTTAGACTAACTCTGCCAACTCGCACAGAGACAATGAGTCAATCAATCACTCCGTCAATCAAGCAATCTGTCATTCTGTTTATCAATCAATCATACTTTTCAACAGTCAATCAGAAAATGAATCAAGTAATCAATCATTCAATCAATCAATCTGCAAGTAGTCAAATGAGTAGAAGTTTAGATATGCTCAATCAGGAAATCAACTTGCAAATCTTACATCAAGCAGTCAATCAAACTGTTTTGATGCTATCAATCATTGTCAACCAATTAATCAGCAACTTATATTTAAGTAAAATCAAAATCGCAGCTGTTGCCATTGCGAAGAAAGTCAATCAGGCATGCTGTCAAACGGGGAATCAATCATTCAATCAATCAATCGGACAGTGTGCCAATCAGTCGATGCTTAGATATGTTTAATCAGGAAATCAACTTGCAAATAAACTCAATCAGACATGCAGTCAAAAAGGGAATCAATCATTCAATCAATCAATCATGCCAATTCTACCCACAATCACTCAGTCATACAATCAATCACTCATACACTTAATTTATACTAAATTTCATTTAGCAACTTGCAACCTGTCACTAAGCAGTCAGTCAATCATAAGCAATACAGCAAGTTGTTAGTCAATCAATCAGTCAATCACTCTTTTCTCAACCTGACGCTAATGCAATAATTGTGTGCTTATTGTAATTATGTTTTTATTGTATGCAGCTCTATTAGAAAGTCAATCAATCAATCAATCAGTCAGTCAATCAATCAATTGTCAATTGTCTGTCAATTAGTCTATGCTTTAAGTAAGTAGTTTTATCTCTCATAGGGTGCATAAATCGGTCTGCCTGGTAGTCAGTCAATATAACAATCAATCAGTCAGTCAATCAATCAATCGTCTGTCAATTATTCATTGCTTTAAGTAAATAGTTTTATCTCTCATAGAGTCGGTCTGCCTGGCAGTCAGTCAATCCATCAATCAATCAGTCAGTCAATCAATCAATCGTCTGTCAATTATTCATTGCTTTAAGTAAGTAGTTTTATCTCTCATAGAGTGCATAAGTCGGTCTGCCTGGCAGTCAGTCAATCATGCGCTATGCCTACAGACAGTCAATGTAGACACTCAATAGACAGACAGTCAAGCAGTCAAGTATTCAGGCAGTCAGTCAATCAATCATTAGCTATTTCCATATGCCGTTTCATTTGGCATTCAACTTGCAGCTCACCTGCGCCGTCTTGCAGGCGCGCGCATATCGAATGCATTGCATGTTGCTGCCCATCCACGTCTAAGTAAAGTGTCGAAATATTTGCGCAGTCACCCCACCGCAACCACCCGGCAGGTGCTCAGAAGTCGAAGTCGCGCACCACCCAGGCTAAGCAAATGTCAGCTGGGGCCGCCATTGCGGTTCAATGGCGCTGATGTTGTTTGTCATTTGGCGCTGCCAGTTAAGCAAATGTCATGCAGGCAGCAACGCCTCCGCCTCCAACTCCGCCCCCTAAGCCATGCCCATGCCCAACTGTTGACAACTAAATGTCACCTGACAAGGCGGCAGTCATGACATTTTGCCAATATGCAAATTTCGCTGCCACTCAATGACAGAAAAACTGCGAAAACGGCGACAACTTTTTATGCCCGCTCACAAAGTGCCAAATGGGTATATTCGCTTTTCTGATACATACAGCTGAGCAGAGCAGAGTGAAATGTCTGTCAAGCTGAGTGGACTCCATGTTACAATCACGTTCGCCTCTATTTGATATTTCAGATATTAAGTCCCTCTTCATATCAAGCTCCAATATATCGATAACGATAACGATATCAATATCGATTATTTAGCTCGCTTTGAGCTTGGCAAAATGCGAATATATCTCACTCTTTTAGTGAGCTTACTAAGCTTTCTAGTTGCATCTCTAAGGATTTATAATAAGCCTTGGCATATTGTTAAATTTAAAGCCATTTTTTCCAAGCTGAACGCGCATTAGGCAGTCGCATATGCACAGCCATTTGTTGCTTCTGTTGTTGCCTAAACTAAATTCTAACTTTTAGCCAGAATTTGTTGTTGTTGTTGTTGCTTTTGCTGTTGGGGCTTTGCTCAATTTTCTCAGGCGATTTCACGTGCGACAAACTTCTCAAGTGTAAAGCAAAGAAAAGCAACAAAAATCTTAAAACAAAAAAAAATAAAAGCGAAAAAATGGTTAGACAAAAAAGTTAACTTCTTTTAGACGAAAATAAAATACTCTGCAAAGCATATGATAAATAAATTATATAAAATATATAAATATTATAAAAATAGATAAGTTATGTTTGTTTCTTGAAATCTTGAAATTTAGAATCGATTTCTAAATAATATCAAGTAATAATATATAATATCAAGTAATAATATATAAGCGTAGTTATTTCGAGCATCACACTGGAGTCTAGATCTCAGCAAGCAAATCAGAAATATATAACAATTTGTAATTCCTATAATTGAAATATATTAACTAGATATTGTAGTTGTATTAGAGATTATTGAGCTAAATGTTTGAGACTAAGAAAACTTTTCTTTTCAACTTGTAAAGCAAGAAACAGCTAAAGCAGCTAAATTTAAATCGAAATTTCATTAATTTAGTTTATAGTTTTAACTAAAGAACAGTTAAGCAATGGATGCACTGTCTTTTGCTAGTCTTAAATAACTGATTAAAATATATCTTATGCAATTTGACAAGACTCTAAAAGGCGTTTGCATTGTTATTATAATTATTTATATATAATTCTACATATATTTTTATATTTTATATTTTATATTTATTTACATAGATTATGATTATTATATTATATTATATATTATATTATATATTATATTATATTATATAGAATTATATATATATCAGATGACAAAACTACAACTGCAAGGACATTGCAAATGAGTTAAAATACAACTGATTTCTGTATAATAAATGTAATATATATATGTTATATATATATTAATATGATATATGAATAATAAACATTTTCTTTAATCTATCTCCCTCTCTCTTTAATATACCAGGACACAAATGATATGATATAGATAATATATAATGCATAATAATATATATAATAATATAATGATAATGATATATGATATGATATAATATATATTTTATATAAGTAAAAATCTCTAAGCTTAAGTATTTATAAATATAAGCAAGCTAATGATATATTCTAATACTATATAAAGTAAAAGAAAATATTTCCAAAGACACTTAATAGTTAAGGAAATCTTGCACATGTCGCCCGATATAATAATATACCCTATGCTAGAGTATCGAGTGTAAAAACTCAACACATAATGAAATTTTCAACGGCTGACTTTGTGATTTGTTTAAGCGGCATTTGTCCACTTGAGAGAGAGAGAGAGAGTGGGAGCGGAAGCTAGCTAGAAAAGCTGACTGGCTGGACAGGCAGGTGGACAGGTGTAACAAGGGCGCTTTGGGGACTGAGCAACTTACCTGAAAACTGTTCGCATCCACCGAAGCCAGCGAGACGAAAAGATTAAAAGTCGATGCCGCCAACGCGGTCGTGCGCGGCGGAATGCACTCACCTGCAAAAAGCAACAGAAAGAAGTGCAAGATGAATAGTAAGTAGAAGAAGCAGCAGCACTATATAGTAAGCGGATATTGCCAGTTGCATAGACAGCCATAAATAACAACAACAACGACTTAAGAATTTCACAAAATCAAAATTAATTTCCGCCAGCGCACGAAACTCACGTAACCCGCACACAAATCCAATTAGCACCCCCATACGACTCCTACTACAGCTACTGTTGGCACCTTTTCTTTAAGATTTAAGATCCGTTACGCACTCACCTATGGGCACCATGCAGCCGGAGAGCATGGCAATGGTGCCGAAGAGCTCGGTGGACTTGGCTGCGCTCAGCAGACGTGTCGGATCGCCAGGACCTGCGAAAGGGCAAAGACAGGAAGCGGCGCAGGTTGGTTAATTGGCTTGTCCTGTTTACCTTGGCCAAGGTGCGACTTCTTCTTCGCTTACTCACCGGGCGGACAAACATCAATGAAGCGCGTGAGGAAGCCCAACGTGGTCAACAGGCTCAACATGACGCTCTGATTCTGCTCAATGGACTCGCGCACCTTCATGCAACGGCGCGACAGCATCCCAATTAGTCCAGTGATTACGGCATAGCTGTAAAAGAGCGAGAGGTGAGACGGTGAGTGAGAGAGGTATATTTGACAATTAATGACTAAACAAGACATTCATCATATTTGTTAATTGAGAGAGAGAAAGAGAGATGGACACGCAGTTGGGGACAGAGACAGCAAACGAGAAACGAGGAGAGAAAAGGATAGATCTAGAACAAGTCTAGATATTGAGAAGACAAAGCTAGGGAGACATAGAATGTGATAGATGGGAGAAAGAGAGTGGGAGAGAGAGAAGAGGAGATAAGAGGAAGTAAGAGTTAGATTAAGAGTGAGAAGGAGAGTAAGCTAGAAAAAGAAGCAGTAAGAGAGGGACTGTAAGAGAGAGAGAGAGAGAGAGAGAGAGAGAGAGAGAGAGAGAGAGAGAGAGAGAGAGAGAGAGAGAGAGAGAGAGAGAGAGAGAGAGAGAGAGAGGATAGAGAGAGAAGAGAGAGAGAGAGATCGAATAGAGCGAACGCTCTAGAGCAGAAGAGAGCTCTAAACTCGCCCCATATCCGAAGCGAGAGGAGCTCTCTCTCTCTCTCCTCTCTCTCGAGGAATACCTCTCTCTCCTCCCTCTCCTCTCCCTCTCTCTCCCTCTCTCTCTCTCTCTCTCCTCTCTCTCTCATCTCTCTCTCTCCTCTCTCTCGCCTCTCCTCCTCCTCTCTCGCTCTCCCCCCCCCTCCCCCCCTCCCTGTCGCCTCCCCCTTCCCTCAGCTCACTCCCCACCCTCCGCCCGAATAAAGAATAAAAACGAGCGAGAAGTTAGAAAGAAAGAGAGAGAGAATGCGCCCGCGAGAGCGTGAAAAAGAGCGAAAGAGCGAGAGAGCAATAGTGAGAGAAAGCGATAGAAAGCGAAATACCAAAAAAAAAAAAATAGAAAAAGAAACAGATTCAGAATATAACAAGAAGAAGATAAAGGGAGAGAGTTCAATTATGAGAGAGCACGCTTAAACAGATTTAGATAAACTAAAAAAGATACTAAAGAAAATTAGACATAAGGAAAGATATTAAAGAGAATGAAGGAAATACGAAATTCCCCGAAATAGTGAAAAATGTTGGAAGATAAAATATAGACTAAAAATATTGCTGAAATATCAATAAAAACTTGAGGGGACGTGAGACAAAGCGAAGGAAGGATGAAAAGTAAAGAGAGAATGAGACACTTCCGTAAGAAATAGAAGTAGTCTAAAGAGTTAAAAGAGATTGAAATTTAATGTAATATTTAGTTAAGTTAATATATTCCAATATTCAAATTTCAAGAAAATAAAATGCTCAAAAAATTCCTCGTAATTCAAGAAGTGAAGCCATATAACAATCCTATATATATATTCCATATACTCAATATTTATTTGCACTTTTAAAAAATAACTGCAGACGATATTCCACCACCTAATTTACAGTATTATTGAGCCACACACACACACGCACACTCGCTCACTTTTTATGTTCAATTTGTGAGTTCAATTGCTGATGCAGGAGCAGGAGCAGGAGCAGCAGTAGCTAATATCCTTCATATGGTAATCAGGGACACGCGTTTGGCATTAAGTGTGCTTGAAAATGCAAAAACGATTAGCAGGAGGCATTCGCATAAAATTTTGTTGCTGCTAAATGTTTGTAAGCAAATAAGGACTTAGCCAGGACAATTCGCACAGCTAAATGTGATGCTGCATGCATTGAGCAGCTCAGCTGAACGTCGAGGGAGAGAGCAGCACAGCATCCAAGCTGAGCAAGAAACTTTGCTCTCACTCTGCGACTTGTACTCTCTCTCTCTCTCTCTGTCTCTCTTTCTGTCTCTGTCTCTGATTTATTTTAATTTATTTCTCACTTATTGTGCAGAGCTGTGGCTACGTCTCCAGCTCTGGCTCTGATTACAAACAATAAAAATATCACTCCTTTCACTCGTGATTTATCATAATAATTGATACGACTATAAACACAAATCATCATCAATTACGAGAGACGACTGAAGAGGAGTGAATCTATGTAAAGGGCAATCGTTTGATTTGCCACTCGACAACCCTCTCCCCCTCACTCCCACTCTCCACTCTCCATCGTCTCTTTGTGTACCATCTAAATGAATGGCATACAAATTTTGTACTATTTAAGTGCAGAATTCATCAAGCAATCGACTAAACCCCAAACAAATAACAACTGATGCAACTGATGAAATAAACTCTTTATATATAAACACCCATGGCCAGGAGAATAGGTACAAGGAGTTAAGCTGTGCTGGCGAGAGAGGCAATATTTTAGGTGTATTAAAAAAACTATGAACGAGTTTTATAAAGGAGTTTAAATGGCGCAATTATATTAGATATATCATAAATAGATATATGAATGATATAAAAAGATATATAGCTATATAATATATAGAAATTGCTTAATATCATCAAACGTAGCTCTTACTATACATTCATATATTTAATATCCTGCATAGTTTTAATAATTCCATTTACACAATTATTATAGGAAAATTCAAAATACTGAAACAATGAGAATTTCATTATATTCAACAAAAATTTGTTCAAAATATTGAGAAACTATTCACTGAAAACGGATCGCTAGACATGAGTTTTAACAAACATCATTTTGGTATATCTAATATTATTAAGTTAAATTAAAACTTCACTAATTAGATTAATATTAACTAATATGCTCACAATAGCTTAACTTATATCAAAATATCCAATGTTTACTAACAAAAAAAAATTCTAAAAGTAAAAAAATTATAGAAAATTACTACAAAAAAACTTTTTACTTTCTTTTATAAGATATATAGAAAAAAATTGAAAGCTTGTAAAAAAATGCAATCTCAAATCATTAAAAATAAATTTCTGCTGCTGTTTCAACTCGAAGAAATCTTTAAAGTTATATTATTTAAAGTAGTCGAAGGAAGGGTGATGAGGTAGGATAGAGATGATGAGAGAGAGATAGAGAAGGGAGAGAGGGTGAGAGAGAGGGAGGAGAGGAGGAGAGAGAAGAAGCGGGAAAGGGAGAGGAGGGGAAAGGAGGCGAAGGAAGGAGGAGGAGGGAGGAGAGAGAGAGAGAGAGAGAGAGAGAAGGGAGAGAGGGGGAGAGAGAGGGAGGAGAGGAGGAGAGAGAAGAAAGCGGGAAAGGGAGAGGAGGGGAAAGGAGGCGAAGGAATAGGAGGAGGGAGGAGAGAGAGGAGAGAGAGAGATAGATAAGGAGAGAGGGGGAGAGAGAGGGAGGAGAGAGTAGAGAGAAGAAATCGGGAAAGGGAGAGGAGGGAAGGAGGCTAAGGAAGGATTATGGAGGATGAGAGAGAGGAGAGAGAGAGAGATAGAAGGGAGAGATTTTTAGATATAGGGAGGAGAGGAGGAGAGAGAAGAAATCGGGAAAGGGAGAGGAGGTTAAAGTATTCTAATTAATTTTTATTATTTATTATATATATTATATATATATATATATAATTTATATATTTTTATATATATTTATTATATTATTATATATAAGAAATCTTTAAAGTTATATTATTTTAAATTATTCTAATTAATTTTTATTATTTATTATATATATAAATATATAATTTATATATTTTTATATATATTTATTATATGATTATATATTTATTATATTATTATATATAAGAAATCTTTAAAGTTATATTATTTTAAATTATTCTAAATAATTTTTATTATTTATTATATATATTATATATATATATAAATTATATATTTTTATATATATTTATTATACTATTATACATATCCAAATTATAAATATTTCTGAATTACTTGAGTAAAAGTTGCTAAATATAACTATAACATGTGCTTGACGTTAAGCTTAACTTATAATCATACTGATATACACACCGAAACAGAAAGAAAATGATTAAAATATAAACCAAAGATATTTATAGAATATCAATCAAACCTCTGCAAAAGCATGCCTATTATTTTGGCCACGAGTGTATTTAGTCAATATACATTCTATAATATGAGTGATTGATACGCCATGACAATGTGCGGATAGAACGAAATAATATTGATGCCAAATGCTGGCCAAAGCAAATAACAACAACAACAACAATGCTGCAGAGGCAGGGCGGGATGGGGTTGCCTAACCATTTGACCCCTTTTGACACACAGAGCCTTGACTGCAAGTGTGTGCGTGTGTGGCGCTCAAATAAAAGCGTCCATTACTCAAACTCACACAGGACATCGTCGCCCCCCACTCTCTGGCAAACAAAAGCGTCAGCCAGCTACGTGTCCTGTATGCGACCAGGACTAGGAATCCTTGTGAATGGGAATACAGCGACTGCGATTCAAGAGGCTGGAGGGTTTTTGGCTGCCAGAGAGCACTCCTCTGGCGTTGTCAACTGTAAACATACTTGAGCTTCCTGTTTTGCTATTTGTGCGAGCGCTGCACACTTAACCAACACACACACGCGCGCACCCACACACACACTCGTCGCACACAAGCTGTTTGCTTGTTGGTTGGTCAATGTCCTGGCCGAAAAGAAAAAAGTACTCGGCAAACTCATCAGCACCACAAAAATATCCTTAATAATTTTCTTAAACCAACAAGCACAAAGCTGCATGAAGGATGCTTTTACCCAGTCAACAGCAGCAGAGGAACAACGTTCGCCGCACCCTACCCCTCCCCCACCCCTTCGTCTTCTTCTTCCTTTTTGGCCTGTCATCGTTTGTCATGTGTCCTTCGCTTGTGCAAAGTATTTAGTTCGCCTCGCCGGGGAGAGCATCAATCCAAACACAAAATGGCCAACTGGCCAACGAGTATCGGATGTGGCTGAGGTTTCCTTTAGATCCCATCCCCCACCGGCCCACCACAGTCCGCAGCTCGTTCCCGCGCCGGGTGCCACATAATCGTCACTGCCCGTAAAATAAACAGCAACAGAAGCGGCAGTGTGGCAGCAGCAAGGACATCAAGAATGGCGTCAAAATAAAAATAAAATACGAGCGCCACAAATTATTTGCTTCACGACTAGCTGAATACACTAACTAAGGCAGGTAAGTTTAGCAA